ATGGAGTTGTCTGGATCTGTTGAGTTTGTAACCAATATCGATTTTGAAGAATTAACCTTTATATTAGTAAATTTGTAGAAAAAGGAGGCCATGTTCAAGATGTTTGTAAGAGATATTTTGTTAGGTGCAATCCAAAGTGAGTTATCTATGTAAGCCATTATTGAAGTATTTATTTTTTGGGGATTTATACTAGAAATTTTATTGGAAAATCCTAAATGTTCTTTGTGTATTCTTAAGATTAGTGGGTCATAATATATTTTCCAGAGAAGGGGTGAAAAGATTTCTTCTTGATTGATACCATCCTTGACAGAGTATGGTGCAGTTAAGCCTAGACTTGTAATTACTCTGTTGGTTCGGTGTGTAAGCAGAAATGATATCAGGTTTATGGCTTTGTCTGGTATATAGATTCTTTTGAGTGCTTTGCATAGGATAGGTATGTGGATTGAGTTAAATGCTTTTGACATATCTTGTAAGAGTATTTAGACTTCTTTTTTATTTGTAATTGCATCTTCTAGAATTTGGGTGAGCTGTGAGATTGGTTGTAGTGTAGATTGGTGAAGAAAAGCTGTAAAGTTGTATGGAGAAAGTACTTGGTTTTAAACTAGAATATTTGTTAGTCTCATTGTTAAAATTTTTGTAAAGATTTTTCTGGTGTAATCAATTAGTGTTATTGGTCATGTAGAGTTAAGTTTGTAGTTGTAATGTTGTTTTTTTGAAATTGGCCAAATGTTGACTTGTAGCCACTAGTTTGGAATGCATTCTTGTATCAAACATTCATTGAATATTTCTAGTAATAGTAGAAAAGCCGATAATGGTAAATGTTAAAGAACCTTATTTGCGATTTCTAATAGTCCTGTTGCTTTTTCTTTAGGAGCTTCTTTTATAGTTTGTTCTAGCTCAGATAGAGAGATTGGTGACAGAAAGTTGTCATAGATATTGCCTTTAATGTTGTTAAATAGATTATATGTTGATTCCTATTCTTTCTAAGTAACATTATTAAGTGGGTTTTCTTTAGTCCAGTTCTTGTAGTGTAGACGTGTAGCTTTTTTAATTTTATTCTTCTCAGTAATAATCTTGTTTGGAAATATAATTTTTCAAAGTTTACTGGTTCTACGCTTTTTTTGAAAATGCTATCTAGCATATGACTAGTGTTATCTTTAAAGTCTAAATATCTTTGGTTTGTATAGAATTTGATTCTTTCACTTTGCTCTTGTTTTTTTTCAAAGTTTCGTGCTTGCCATATTGTGTATTTGTATTGCTTTATTTGTGTTATAAAATCAGGTAGAGGTGGATTTAATTGTTCTTGTATAACTAATGAAATATCTATTTCTGCAAGCATTGCTACCTTTGATAAGTAAAGATTTACTTTAGTTAAGTTATTTAAAGTATTATTAGAGAGGTAGTGTAAACATTTGTTAATGTTTTTAAGTGCAAAATTTAATTTGGTTGCTTTTAGTGAGAGTGCGAAGAAGGGTTTAGGAGTAGTAAGAGTATATAGAATATGTTTATTCATTTTTTTTTTAATTTTTGCTGTTCAGAAGTTCTATATTTTGTTTATATTGTTTTTGTTCATATTTGATATTGGAATATTTTGTGGGTTGAAGCAAACATTTAGTGAGTCTTCAAAGTTTTTCCAGTCATCAGGTGTTATTTTCTCAAACAAATATATTTTCCTTTTTTTCTTTTTGTTCCTAGGGTTTTTTTGAGATAAAAAGTTTGTATACTAGGTTGTGCTTAGGATGCAATGATTACTGTCTGAAATGTAAGAAGCATTAGTTAGAGATAAAGGTTCAAATACTAATAATATATCTGATAAGATCCAGAAATCATTGATTTGGCTGGCAGAAGTTGGGCCATGCTATGTTAATGTTTGAATGTTATGAAAGGCTAATAAACTTGTTAGGTTGGCAGCATTTAAATTTGTGAATATCAGAAAGTGCTTGTTTCTAAATTGATTGGTATTAAAATCATCTAATATAATTAGATGCCAGTTTCTGGCTCTAGCTTCTGTAATCCAGTTAAGTAATTAAGATTGGGTCTTTTTTAGAAGGAAAAAATGATTTGAAGGGAGGTATGTTGAAATGATATGAAATTTGTTATCATTAGGAAAAAAGAAGTCAAGACATATAGCTGTTCTTTGAAAAGTGTTAATTTTGTGAATATATGGTTGTAGTTGATTGCAAACTATTAAGGCAGTTCTCAGGCTAGCTTCTTATTGATTTGGTTTGTATAGTACAAAGTTTAATTAAAGATTTTGTATAGAGGGTTAGTTAATGACAACATCATTAAATCTTTTAGTTTGGTTTTTGTGAGTAAGATTATGTGTAAGTTTGATTTAACACAGTGTTCAATCCAGGTTTGTATTTTTAATATGTTATTAATGCTTCTAATATTGTGAGTAGTAATATTAATTTTTTTGTATATATCAAAGTCATAAAGATTTGATTCGTTTACATTTTCTACAGATTGTAGAGTATTTGTATTAGGGTGTATGCTCATAAGTCTTCTGTCATAGGGTCTTCCTTCATTGCAGATGTTTGTGTCTTTAGTATTGTATTAGTTGAGTTTTTGTTTTCAAAGATGTCAAATGATGGTTCAGGTAGATCTATAAGATCAAATATGTACTCTGGCACAGTGTGATAAGAAAAGTTTTGTTGAAGAGTTTTCAAAACCAAGGAGATATTGTGATTTTTTTTAATAGGTATATTTATGTTGTCAATTTTTTTTTCAACTAGTGCAAGTTGCAGTTTTTCAAGTGTAGAAGGTAATTTATCTGGAGTGTCACTAGATTCAGATTGTTTTTTTTAAATGTTTATCCAAGATTGGAGTATTGTATAAAAGTAGTAGTGTTCATGTAATGCTTTAGCTGCAATGCTAAGCTCTTTGGAAGTTGAGATTGGTAAGGTTAAGTTTACTGTTGTAACTAATTTGGTATCATCTGGTAGGTCTAAAAGTTCTGTATAGTTGAAATCACAATAAATTTTGGTAATAATGTTGGAATGCTGTATATAGGTGGAATTTTTTTCAAGAATAAGTCAACTTCTTCTGCAGTTTGTAGAGGGAAGATAAGGTCTGTCATTTATAAGTCTGTAGGGTTTTGAGGCAGTTATCTGCATAAGATAATATAGTCATTTGGTAGTTTTGTAAATGAGTAAACTATTTGCAACAGTCTAACATGTTCTTTGAAGTCTTTTTGGTTTTTAGGTAAGAAAGGAAATTTTTTTTTTAGTCTGAGAGTTAAGTCTTGTGGAGTAGAAGGTAGTAGGCTTTTTGATGCTAGTAACTCAAAGTAGCTAGAGGGAATTTGTCAAAAGATATAAAATTTCTGTAAGGTTTCTCTGTATCGAACCAGGTTTTGCAAGTCTGCTCTGTTTATAATAGGAAATATGTTGTGCACTTCATCATTTAGGAGTTCATATAAGTCTGATAGAGGTTCCCGATTATTTGCAATATATGTTTTAGATATTTTGTTAAATGAAAACATTAATTGTAAAGTCTTGGCTACAGGTGCAATAATTTGATAATTTGTGATAGGTAAACTGAAAGAAATCACTTTTATTAAATAACTAGAAATTAAAATAGGTTCTGAAAGTAGTGGTATTAGCATCTCATTAATAAAACTTGAAACCAATTTTCTGGTTATTTCAAAATTTAGTTGTTGTGAGATTTTTGCAAATCCTGTTAAGTAAAAGATATATCTTGTAATTTCCTATGTGTTCATTGAATTGAAGTCTAGATTAGACAAGTAGTCTGTTGCTAATTTAATTTGTAGTAGTTTAAAGATTTGGTCTCAATTTTTCTTATTTGTTGCTAGTACATTGTGTTGTTTTTTATAGATATCTAAAGCTTCTGTAAACAAATTATTAAATTCTGTTTGATGTTATGGTCTGATTGCAATAACTCTCATAAAGCTTCTAAAAAATGCTATATCTCTATGAACCAGTTTTGCTGTGATTGCTTTTGGAATATAATTTGTTGTTGGTTTAGTAATGAGTTTATATCTAACTAATTCCTTAATTTCATTATAGGAGGTTAGTGCAGCTTTGATTTTTGGCCAAGTCCAGGTTGTCATATTGAACATCTTTAGTGTATTTTGTCTAATTTCTTTTAAAGCTGACTGTGCATGCTTGCACTATTCTTTTTCTTTATTACTATTGAAGCTATTTGGAGTTTTTTTATTTCTTTCTGGAAGGCTTTTAGTAACTGCCTGACTATATGATATCTTTTTTTGTGTTTGTTCCTCTACTATTGTATTTGTTGAATGTGTTTTTTCTTTTTCATCATCTATGTTTGTTGTGTCTTGGTCTACTTCCATATCTGGTGTTTGTTTGTTTGTATTATCATTTACATCTGTACTAGGTCTGGAGGCTAGTTCTGACTGGATTAGTTTGTTTACATCTATATTTTGTTTTTGTGTGGAAAGATTTGTGTTAGTTGTGATGGGGGCTTGGATTGGGCTCTGGCAATTTTGTAAATCTGTGAGAATATTTTTTTCTATTGGTTGATGTGAGTCTGGGATTAGATTTGTTGTTGTTTCCATCTCTACTGATAATGTTATGTCTTGAGAATTTGGGGTTAAGCTAAAATTTCATTTTTCTTTAAAATTTTCTTCTACTACATTTTTTCTAGTATTTGTTTGAACTGAAATAGTAGTGTTATAGTTAGTTTTTTACTTTTTTTCTTTACTTTGTTTGCTCATTGTATCATTGCTATCAGTGTATATATAAGCTGATCATGTTTTTTTCTTTTGAGTTTCAGTTACATATGTTTTGTTATTATTTTTTTTATTGTTGTCATTGTTTTCTTTAGTTGCCAACGTAGTTGGCAACAAGGTTGTAAAGAGGACAAGAGTGCAGAAGGTGCTTTCTCTACTTCTTTTAATCTTTGATAGCTTTGTTGTTGTTATTTGTTGTGAGTTATTCTTATTTATTTAGTTATATATTTTAAGTGTATCTAGTTGCAATTTTAATATTTGTTTACTATATAAAAAAAAATAAGTTATGGGCATTATGGAGCTTAAAAATTTTTTTTTAATAAATTATAATAATAATAATATACAAATTATTATTAATTTAGAAAATAATATAATAGAAAATAAAGAATTAATTGAAGATATTTTAAATATTTATATTAAAATAGCAAAAAAAGATTGGAATTATAAAGATTTAGCACTTAAAGGAAGTCCTGCAAAAATAAAACAAAAATTAATTAATATTGAAAAAGCAAGAATATTTAAATATATAACAAATTCATTAAAAGAACTAACTAGAATATACAATAATATTATAGAAATACTAACTAAAGAACTTCGAAATAAATATAGAGAATAATATAATTTGAATTTATTCAAATTTAAAGATTTTAAATATATTAAAGGTAAATTATAAATTATTAATAATTTAAACTTAAACTAATTAAATTTTATTTAATAGGACCAAATTATATAGTTGATAAAAATAAATTAACTATTATAAAAATAGTTTCTTTAAATGATAAAGAAAATTTTTTTTTAAATTCAGCAGAAGAAGCTGTATTTAGATATTATTTATAGCATTCTAATAATGAATTATATAAAAACCATTAAACAGATAATTTTAAAAATGGTTCAGAATGTTTTGTTGTATATGGAAGTTATACAAAAACTGTATATAATTCTTTAGGTTATAATTCAAAAAACAACGAACATAATAAGTAAATATTTATATTATAATTATAATTAGATATAATATAAAAACTAATATTTATTTTTTATTAGATGTATAGATATTATGTTAGATAAAATTAAACAATAGCTGATAATGTTTTAGGTAAAATTATGTTACAACATTATCCTAAATAGTTTAATAAAAAAAAAACTGTTCAATATCCTTCAAAAGTTTGTATTAATAATTTATATATTTAAAATTTTAAATATAATTTATTAACTTTAATATTTATATAATAAGGTTAAAAAACTTTTTGAAGTTTTTGCTATGATGGCATTAAATTATAATGTAATGATAAATTTTCATTATGATGAAAATGATGATGGTTTGTTAGTAGTAGTTCCAGTTGGAAATTGGAAAGAAGGTTGGCTAGTACTTCCTCAAATAAAAACTGTAATTAAATTAATTAAAGATGGGGTTTTATTTCTAAAAGCTAATTATTTAATACATGGAAATACTTCTGCTACAGATAATAGATTAGTTATAGTATTTTTTTCTCATAATCAAACATTTTCTAATTAAAATTATAGTTATTATTATTATAATAAATTTAAAATTTATTTAATAAATATTATAATAATATTTATTAAAAATATCTAAATACTTAAATTATATAAAAAAAATTAAAAATAACTATTATTTTATATATATAATATAATTTATAATTTTAGATAAGTATTTATTTAAATTAATAAATTTTAAATAAAAAATTTTTAATATTATATTTTGCTTTTTATAATTTAAAATCTAAAATACTAAAATATTTATTTTTATATACTAATTATTAGTTTATAAAATTAAATTAAATTTTGAAATTAAATTGAATATTTAAATAATTTAATAAATTTTTAATTAATTTAATTAAATATTTAATTTAAATTCAAGATTTGATTAATTTTATAAAGTTTAATATCTATATTATTATTTATCCAATTTTTTAAACAAAGTGATGCATGAGCAGTTTTAGAGTTAAGTCTATTTTGAAGTTTAAAAAGTATCTTTGATGCTATAAAAAATGCTTCTTCACAAGGAACACTAGTTGCTTGAATTGCAAGAAAATCTTGTGCTATTTTTGCAAGTATTTAATAATTATATTTATTAGCAGCCCACTATTGAAGACAACCATTTTGAATAGATGATGAAATAGGTGGTGTAGATATATATAATTCTAATTCTTTTGCTAATGGTGGTATAATAGTTTGTTGTGAAATTAATGATACAAACTATTTTCTTTTATCATTAAATACTGAAGTTGAAGTTAAAGCTAATAGTTTATACTGATTCATCATATTTTGTAAACTAATAATAACAGCATCTTTTTTAGTAGAAAGTAGAAATGTTGTTAGCTTTGATGTTGGATTAAGAACTGAAGCTATTCTTGTTAATTCATCATAATTAAGAATAGACCAATAATCATTTAATTTATTTTTAATAAAATATGCCATTGTGTATTTATTTTCAGAGTATAAATTATTGTTTATAAATAATTCTAAATGATGTATTATTTCCAAAAAAGTTAACCTAATATCAGCTATAGTTGAATATGAACTTGTCAAAAAAATTTCTGTAGCATATAACATTGGCTCAAGTAAAAAGATTATATTATCAATATTTTTTCATTCTTCTTCATCAGGATAATTGTTATTAAGTTCAGGATATGTAATTTTAAGAAGATTAAGTTCATTATGCAGATTTTTAAATCTATTAAGTATAAAGTAAGTACTATTCCAACATGTGACTACATCAATAATTAATGTACTATAATTTTTTTTAGTTATATTACAAAAATCTCTAAGTCTATCACATAAAATTGTAGACTTCTGAATTCGATTTATAAACTTTCTAACTTTAACAATTACTGAGTTCTGAAATTCTATACCATTTTTTATTGCAATATTAAGAACATGAGCAGCACATCTATGGTAATAAAAGCCAAAAGTATTCTATTCATTTTCAATAAATTCTCTACATAATACCATAGCAGAAGCATTATCTGTTAATGAAATTACTTTACTAATAATATTCATTTTTTCACAAATTTTATTAAGTTTTTCTTTTATTCTTAATGCATTATGATTATATTTAAAATAAATAATATCAAGTAAAAAATGTTTCATTTTTCATTCATTATCAATATAATGTATAGTAATTCCAAGATAAGCTTGATTTGAACTTGATGTCCAAATGTCAACAGTAAGTGCAACTTTAGTAGTAAGTTTTTCAAGCTCTTTAGCAACATATATTTTATGAGTTTTAAATTGATTCATTATTGTATTTTTTAGAAATTTAATTGATGATAACTTATATCTTGGATCATAAACATTTATTGCTTTACAGAACCAATAATTATTAATAAATGAAAATGAATGTTATGCACCAATTATAAGATCAACAGTAGCATTAAAGCATTCTTGTTTACATTTAATATCTTTTTTACTATATAGTTCTTGAGATAAATATAAACAATTGGTTTTTAAATTAAGTATAATATTATGTTTATTTTTAAGATGTTTATTTAAAATACCAGTAGATGTAGTAGCACTATATATTGTTTCACATCCTTCAACTTTACAAATTCTTGCAACAACTTGATTTTCTATTTTTTTTTCTTCTATATAGTCCTATATAGATGATGTTTTGTTTTTTTTTTATTACTAACTGTTGCTAGATTATATGAAGATTGCATTTTAGTAATAATATTCATTGTGTTTGCAACTTCTATATTTTCAGAGTTTTCTATATTATTTGCATCTTCTATATCCATTATATCATCAGTATTATTTTCATCTTCTGTGCTACTCGTATCTAATATATCATCTGAATTATCTGTGCTTTCTATATCACTTATATTACTTATATCTTCTATATTATTTATATTTTTTATTATTATTAAAGAAATTGATTTTTTTTAAAAATTAAATTATTAATTTTTTAAAAAATTTAGTCTTATTTTTATTTTTATTTTTTCAATTTTGTCTAATTTTATATACATTATTTAAAATTTTAATTAGAATTAGTTAATCTAATTTGTACTAAATCTTTATTAAATAATTAATTATTAAATATAATAATTATTTATTATTTATATTATTATTAATTTATTTTTTTATTATAATAATATATATAATTATTTAAATTAATTTTTTTTAAATACAATAATTTTAACAATAACTTTTAATAATTACAATATAAAAATAATTTTAAATAATATATTTATTATATAAAATAGTTATTCTGAATAAAACAAGTATTAACCGTAAACTAGTTTATATTAAACTTTAAAAATAATTATTTTAATATTATAATTATAAAGATGCAATTAAGAGTATTAATCATGAACTAGTTTACAATAAACTTTAAAAATAATTATTTTTAATATTATAATTATAAAGTGCAATTAAATATTAATATTAATCATAAACTAGTTCACAATAAATTTTAAAAATAATAGTAAACTAGTTTATAATTAATTTTGAAAATATTAATATTAACTAAATAATATTTTGATAAATAATCTAAATAATGTTCTGATAATGTTCTGATAAATAACTATAAAGTAATTAACTTTGCAACAAATTTATCAAGATATAAACTAGTTCACAATGTGACAAATTTGAATTTATTACATCATAAACTAGTTCACAGTATGATAAATTCGAATTTGTCACACTATCTATATAACAAATCCGAATTTATCATACTGTGAACTAGTTTATGATATAATAAATTCGAATTTGTCATATCATGAACTAGTTTATGCCTTGATAAATTTGTTGCAAAGTTAATTACTTTATAGTTATTTATCAGAATATTATTAGAACATTATTTAAATTATTTATCAAAATGTTATTTAATTAATATTAATATTTTCAAAATTAATTATAAACTAGTTTATTATTATTTTTAAAATTTATTATGAACTAGTTCATGATTAATATTACTACTTAATTGTACTTTATAATTATAACATTAAAAAATAATTATTTTTTATTTATTAATTATAATTATGTATTATTATTTTACTCTTAAACTTTGTTATATATACATATATAATTTTGTTTAAATAGACAAATTAATTAAGTTTTTTATTTGTAATTTTGTATAATAATGTTATTTACAATATTATTATTATTTATATTTAATAAAAAATATTATTTAATTACATTTTTATAATTATATTATTAAATATTTATCTTTTATTTAACAATTACAATACGTAATTTATTTATTATCTTGTTCTTAAACTTTGTTATATATATATATAATTTATTTAATTGACAAGTTAATTAAATTCTTTGTTTCTGAATTTGTACAACAATGTTAATATTTAAAATTATTTTTTATATTTAATAAATAATACTGTTTAATTATTTTTTATAATAATATCATTAAAAATAATTATTTTTTATTTAACAATTATAATTATGTATTATTATCTTATTCTTAAATCTTATTATACATACATATATAATTTTGTTTAAATAGATAAATTAATTAAGTTTTTTGTGTGTAGTTTTGTATAATAATGTTATTTATAATAGTATTATTATTTATATTTAATAAATACTACTATTTAATAATATTTTTATAATTATATTATTAAATATTTATTTTTTATTTAACAATTATAATACGTAATTTATTTATTATCTTGTTCTTAAAATTTGTTATATATATATATATAATTTATTTAATTGACAAGTTAATTAAATTCTTTGTTTTTGAATTTGTACAACAATGTTAATATTTAAAATTATTCTTTATATTTAATAAATAATACTGTTTAATTATTTTTTATAATAATATCATTAAAAATAATTATTTTTTATTTAATAATTATAATTATGTATTGTTATTTTATTCTTAAATCTTGTTATACATACATATATAATTTATTTAAATGAATAAATTAATTAAATTTATTGTTTCTAAATTTGTATTATTTAGTATATCTTTATAATTATATTATTAAAAATAATAATTTTTTATTTAATAATTATAATTATTTATTATTATCTTACTTTTAATCTTTATTATATATATATACTTAAATTTAGTATTTTTAAAATATTATTCTTTTTAGTTTACTATAATTTTTTTAATAAGTTTGATTCGTTTTATTAATTTTATTATATAAATTTATTCTAATATAATAAAATAAAAAATTTATTTTAATTTAGTAAAATATATATATATATTATAATAATATATAATTTAAAAATATTAAATATATAAAATAAATATAATTAATATAATAATATCGATAAATTATTTTTACAATTTTGAAAATAATTTTTTTGCATTATTAAACAATAATAATTTATTTATTTTATAATTCATACTCTAGCCTGCAATATATAAATTATATTAATAATACTGTTATAAACAGTTATTAAATTTAATAAAAAGTTTAAAAATTTATTAAATTATAAATTATTAAATTTAATTTATATTACTAACTTCAATTTCAAAAAATATTTAAATATAAGTCCAAAAATTTTATCTCAACTTTACTTTTATTTTTAATTATTAATCTTAAATATTAAAACCAAATTTTTATTATATTTAATATTAATTATAAATATAATATCTTTTTTTTTAATTAAAAAATAAAATTATTAGCTAAATTTTTATTTCAAATAATTTCTCTTGAAAATAATTTTATGGTGTCGTACTACGGAAATTGTAGACTCTAAAACTCCCTATTCATAGGGTAGACGAACGTCTCTCGCATAACATTGAACAAATTAGTACTCAAAAGAGGCGTGTGATTTGGCGAGTACTAAGGGTAAGTGTATCTTTATTTACTATACTGCGAGACCTGCGAGACTTGTTTTTCTTATATTACCAACACATTACTTATATACTTTTCTCTATACGCTAATTACACTAATTACACTATTTATGCTAATTACACTAATTATGCTATTTATGCTAATTACACTAAATACGCTATATTCGCTATATCTATTAATTACACTAATTGCACTAAATCTACTAATTATGCTAATTACACTGCATCTGCTAA